GGGAACACAGGTGACACTGATAATCATAACGAGACATGGCAGGAGTGAACACAACACTGACGGGAGACAGGCAGAGTCAAACAGGAAGTACAGAGGTTCAGACAGGAGGAGAGAGAGCACGGGGAAAACACAGACATAACGGGCAGGGGAAACATGGAACAACCACAAAGGGAGACGAGGGCTCCTAAATACACAGAGGGCACACAGGGGGGAGAGAGAGCACGGGGAGAACTTAGACATAATGGGCAGGGGAAACATGGAATAAAACATAAGGAGAGACGAGGGCTCACAGATACACAGAGGGGCACACAGGGGGTGAGAGTCACGAAGGGAAAACACTTAGGGAACAACACAACAGGGCAACTCAGGAAACATGGCCTAAATAGGGAACAAAATACAAACATACAAGAAAACTAAGAATACTGGGCCAACATGGCCCAGGACCATGACAGGCGCACAGCGTGACGTCAAAAACGGCGCACACCTTTGATGTTGCGTGAGTAAATTGAAAATCTCCACTCTGGCAGGAGTTTTTTAAAATCTCAGCTATCAGTGACCCAGAATGCTGTTAATGTGTAGATGAAAGGCCCAAATGCATAGAAAATACCGTATTTTCAAAAATACCCGTGTACGTGTGGACGTAGCCTAAGGTACTGTTGGTAAGAAAGGTGTTTAGCTTGATAACAGTTCTAGGAAACTATTTTAGAAAGTCATGGATTATGGAGAGGTGAGATCATCTGCGTCTAGCTGTGAACTTTCCAACTTCAGTTCAGGTTTGAACGATTCCAGTTTGAAAGAAGGTGGAGATCCTCTTCCAACTGTGGACCATGGCCTTTGATTTAGAGGTGCTGATTCTCATTCTCGTCACGTCACACTTGGCTGTGAACTGTTGCAGTGCGAGCTGGAGGACACCACCTGATGAGCCAAACTGATGAGAAACACATAATCTGAAAAAATAAGCAGAGACGAATTTCTGACGCCAACAAAGTGGAAGCCTTCCACCACAACAGCACCTAGAAATTCTGTCCATAAAAATAATGAACTGGATTGGTGACAAAGGGCAGTCCTGCTGGAGTCCAACACCCACCAGGAGTCTGACTTGTTGCCAGCAGTGTGGACCCAGCTCTAGCAATGGTTGTAGAAGAATCAAATGGCTTGCTGCAACAGGCAAAACACTCCATACCCCTGAAGAACTTCTCACAGAATACTCTGAGGGACAAGGTCAAAGGCGTTCTCCAAGTCCACTAAACGCATGTAGACGAGTAGGGCAAACTTCCATGCACCCTCAGATATCTCTGTGAGGTTAAGAGCTGGTCCAGTGTTCCGTGATTGGGACTACAACCACATTGTTCCTTCTGTATCCGAGTTTTGACTTAAGCATGGACTTTTCCTTTCCATCATCCTGGAATAGACTTTCCTGGAGAGGTTGAGGAATGTGATCCCCATATACAGTGGCTTGCAAAAGTATTCGACCCCCTTGAACTTTCCCACATTTTGTCACATTACAGCCACAAACATGAATCAATTTTATTGGACTTCCACGTTGCATTTCTGATCAGCGCTCTCCTTGTTCGGCCTGTGAGTTTAGGTGGACGTCCTTGTCTTGGTAGGTTTACAGTTGTGCCATACTCCTTCCATTTCTGAGTGATGGCTTGAACAGTGCTCCGTGGGATGTTCAAGGCTTGGGAAATCTTTTTGTAGCCTAAGCCTGCTTTAAATTTCTCAATAACTTTATCCCTGACCTGTCTGGTGTGTTCTTTGGACTTCATGGTGTTGTTGCTCCCAATATTCTCTTAGACAACCTCTGAGGCCGTCACAGAGCAGCTGTATTTGTACTGACATTAGATTACACACAGGTGCATCTACTTAGTCATTAGCACTCATCAGGCAACGTCTATGGGCAACTGACTGCACTCAGACCAAAGGGGGCTTAATAATTACGCACACCCCACTTTGCAGTTATTTATTTGTAAAAAATGTTTGTAATCATGTATGATTTTCATTCCACTTCTCACGTGTGCACCACTTTGTGTTGGTCTTTCACCTGGAAGTCCATTAAAACTGATTCATGTTTGTGGCTGTAATGTGACAAAATGTGGAAAAGTTCAAGGGGGCCGAATACTTTTGCAAGCCACTGTAGTTGGAGCACCCCCTTATGTCCACCTTGTTGAGGATGAGAACTCCCACCCTGGCTTACCAATCTAAAGGCTCTCAATGAGATCCTGTCGAGGTGTGTGAACCAAGACAGCCCTACAACATCCAGAGCCTTCAGGAACTCAGGGCAAACCTCATCCACCCCAGGGGCTCTGCCACCAACGAGTTGTATAACTGCCTCTGTGTCCTCACCTACGGTGAGGGATGACTTTGTCCCTGTTGTCCCCAGACTCTGGTTTCTGGAGGCAGCAGCCTAAGCAGAGAACCTCACACCTTGCTCTTTCTAGACAACTCCTCTAGCTTATCCGGTGGAATACCAAAGCATTCCCAGGCCTCATGCACTAGCTCAGGCTCCTTCCCCACCAGAGAGGTGAGAGTCCATGTCCAAGTCACCAGTCTCTGTAGCAGGGATCAGTCTGCCAGTGTCAACGTTCTTAGTACACACATTGCACCCGACCTCTATGGCGTCTTAAGATGGGTTGCCTAAAGGAGGATGGGCCTATGTTCCTTCTTCAGGTTGCACCCGGCCAGGCCCCATGGGCTACGGCAAGTCACCAGATGCTCTCCCTCGGGTCACCTCCCATGTCCTAGCTCCAAAATGGTGCCCAGGTAACCGGATGCCTGACAGGGTAAACTGTTCCCTTGGTCTGGTAAGGGTCTTATAAGGGTCTTCTAAATGGCTTAGTGTCTGGTCCCTCACTCAGGGCCAACTTGTAATGGGACACACAACCAGGTGGCAAAAGCCCCCCAACAGCATAGCACCTGGGATCCCTGGAACACACAAGCCCCCCCCACCACAATAAGGCAGCGATTCACAGAGGGGCAGATGATATTAAAAGGTGATACTGGTTGAGCGCTGTGAGTAGAGAGTGCATCTGCAGTTTTCTTGTTATTGTGAGCAATCATCAGCTAACTGCTTTAAGAAAAATAAGTAAATGGTGGTGGTATTTAACCAATCAGGTGATCTTATTAATGTTTCAAACCCTGTAACAGAATGTAGTAAAACTGTGGTGACAAAAGTCTGTGTGTCACAATTTTAAAGGTAATTTACAAGTTTTATCTTTGTTTTTCAGCACATGAACTAAGGATAATGCTGTTTGGAAAAAGTGAGAACAAAAAATCATCCCTGGAAAAGATCATCATTAGAAAGAAAGAGTTTAATATGCCTAAAGTTCTTGGAGGAAAGCAATGTCGCGCTGCCTCTGGAGAGTGGAGAGGGAAACCGTTAACAGTAGTCAAAACCCCCGACATCTTCAGTCTGTCTGTGAAAACTCTGTTCGAAGTGATGAAGAGCTGTGTGAGTCTCTGTCCTCCTGGACCAAACGTTCTGCTGCTGTTAGTCAAACCTTCTGATTTCACTGAAGAGGACAGAAAAACTCTGAATTTGGTCCTGAGCTTGTTTGGTCAAGATGCCCTTAAACACTCAATGGTCATTATAACACAGAAAGAGGAGAAAGGCAACAACTCAGTGGAAAAACTCATTGAAGACTGCAACCAAAGGCAGAACTGGTTTGAAAAAAATTGTTCTGCTACAGATTCTTCAGAGTTGATGGAAGAAATGAATGAGATAGTGAGTGAAAACTGGGGAAAATATCTAATGTTAAAAGAAGAGGCTAAACCCAATCTGAAGTCCAGTCTGAACCTGGTTCTGTGTGGGAGGAGAGGAGCAGTGAAGACGTCAGCAGCCAAGGCCATTTTAGGTCAGACTGAGCTTCATTCAGTCTCCAACTCATCAGAGTGTGTTAAACATCAGGGAGAGGTGTGTGGACGTTGGGTTTCCCTGGTGGAGCTGCCTGCCTTGTATGGAAAACCTCAGGAGGCAGTGATGGAGGAATCATTCAAGTGTATCTCCCTCTGTGATCCTGAGGGTGTCCATGCCTTCATCCTGGTCCTACCTGTGGATTGTTTGAGAGACGAAGACAAGGGAGAGTTAGAGACCATCCAGGATGCATTCGGCTCTCAAGTCAATGACTTCACCGTGATTCTGTTCACTGTGGACTCAGATCCTACAGATCCAGCTGTTGGTAACTTTTTAAAGGAAAATAAGAACATCCAGAAGCTCCTTCAGAGCTGTGGAGGAAGATCAGTTGTTCTCAACATCAAGAACAAACAGCAGATCCCAGAGATGTTTGAGATTGTGGACAAAATTAGTCAGCCTACAGGACAACTGTGCTGTTATACAACTGCAACATTTTTACACGCACAAATGGCGAAAGTCTTAAAACTTGTCACTGGTAAGTAGTTTAGATTGTGATATTTTCCAATGACCCAGAGTTTTAATCCAGTATTCAAGTGTTAACTCTGATTGTTTTCATGTTTTAGGTGGTGAAGTTGGAGAACAGGACTCAGACTGTCTCAGGATTGTGCTGATTGGGAAGACCGGCTGTGGAAAGAGCTCTACAGGAAACACCATTTTAGGAAGAGATGAGTTTGAAGCTGCATCAAGTCAAATGTCGGTCACACAATGCTGTCAGAAAGCAAATAGTGAGGTGAGCGGTCGTCCTGTTGTTGTGGTCGACACTCCTGGTCTGTTTGACACAAGTTTGTCCAATGAAGAAATTCAAGAGGAGCTGGTGAAATGTGTCAGTCTCCTGGCTCCAGGACCGCATGTCTTCCTGCTGGTGGTAGAGATCGGCAGATTCACAGCAGAAGAGAAGGAGACACTGAAGCTCATCAAGAAATTCTTTGGGAAGAATTCAGAAAAGTTCACCATCGTTCTTTTAACCAGAGGAGATGAACTGGAGCGTCAGGGAGAGTCTGTTGATGATTACATCAAGAACAAATGTCACAGTTCCTTTAAGAAGCTGATCTCTGACTGTGGAGGAAGATACCATGTGTTCAATAACTCTGAGAAACAAAACCGCACACAAGTCAGTGAGCTGATAGCAAAGATTGACACCATGGTGAAGGACAATGGAGGAAGCTTCTACACCAACGAGATGCTGCAAGAGGCTGAAACTGCGATAAGGAAGGAAATGCTGAGGATTTTAAAGAAGAAGGAAGAAGAGATTCAGGAACAAAAGGCAGAATTTGAAAGAAAACATAAGGAAGAAATGGAGGCTATGAAGAAAAGAATCGATGAAGAAAGAGAAAGGGAGAGAATACAGAGAGGAAAAGAACTCGAAAAAATGAGAAATAAAATTAGAGAAGAAGAAGAGAAGAGAAAGCAGGAACAGGAAATCAGGGAAAAGGAGAAAAGGGAAAAGGAAGCTGAAGAAGAAAGACGCCGACAAGAATTTGAAAAAGAACTTGAAAAGCTGGACAAACAAATTCAGTCAGAAAAAGAGGCAAAAGAAAATGTGGACAGAAAACTGGAAGAAGCCAGAGAAGAGATGAGAAGAAAACAAGAGGAGTGGGAGAAAGAACAGAAGGAATGGTGGGAGAAACAACGACAAGACGAAGACAAAAGACGAGAGGAAGAGAAAGAAAAAATGGAAAAACTACAGGAAGATTATAACGAAAAGCTGGAATGTGAAAAAATCAATAAAGAAGACGATCAAAGAAGAAGAGAAGAGGAAATAAAAGGATTGGAGGAAATTCATAAGAAAACTCTGGATGATCTAAAGAAGAAACATGAACAGGAAGCCAGAAAGAAAGCTGAAGAGTTCAACCAAGCCCAGAAGAAACACGTGGATGATTTAGCAGCTCAGAAGGAAGAACATAAGAAGGAAATTTACGACTTAGTGAGACGTGTGACCAAAAAGACTGACTATTCGAATAGGATCAAGAATTTAATGCAAAAACATGAAAAAGAAATGAGATCTGTGACAAATGAAGAGGGGAAAGAAAACCTCCAGGAAGAACACGAAGAACAACTAAATAAGTTAATGCAAGAAATCTTGAATGAAGAGATCAAGGACGCGTCGACCTGCAGCATTTTATAAAGAGAAATCCACTTTTACAGCTGTTCTTTAACTGTTAGAGGACAGAAACAAACAACATGTGCAGACTTGTTGTTCTGCATGTTTTACACATGCTTGTTCATCACGACCACAGAAAAAGCTGCTGATTGGATATCATCTCAAATAGTTCAGTTCAGTTTTATATATATATATATATATAGTCACCTCAAGGGGCTTTATATGGTAACGAACAGACGCTACAACAATACGGAGAAACCCTACAATCAGATGATCAAACACTTTGGTGACAGTGGGAAGGAAAAACTCCCTTTCACAGGAAGAAACTTCCAGCAGAACCAGGCTCAGGGAGGGGCGTGGCCATCCGCCTACTAACTCCACTCATAACCAATAATAATCATTTTGATTTACACGTTAACCTGCACTATGTAAGTAAAATTACTCATGTGGATGATTTTCTTTGGTTTGGTCAAAATCACCATTTGACCAAAATGGTTTTTTTTCTTTTTTAATATTAGATTGTTGTTTAAAGGAATCTTGATGTTCTTTCATATATTGTTCTGTTGTCAATATTTGTGGTTTGATTATGATTGTTTTTTGTTTTTGTTTTTTTTGCATAAATGTGTCATTAATAATAAACACAAGATGAATAAATAAACAAGTGAAAGAAAACTTAATGATTATTTTTCTTTCACTTACGATGAATAAATCATGTTTTAAATTTTGTTATAATTTAACCTGTTCTCTCCAAATATCACAGCAGTTATTCATTATAAAAACACATCTGCATATCATTTACACCAGTTTTATGGCAGAACTAAGATCGTATCCGTGTTTTCTTTAATTATTAATGTAAACAGTTTTTCTCTGTAATCAGCTCTGATCGTTGTTAAATGATGAAGTCAAACATCTTCATTCAGCTCTGAAATTATGTGTTTTTAAATTACTGAACTTGCAAAATTACATGAACTGCTCCACCTATGCTGACATATTTGATTTGCATAAGTTTTTGTCTATAAGGTAAAATGTGTATAACCTGTATTATGGTAATTAGTGATTGTAATGTGCACAACAAAGTCCTGATAAAGAAACTGTTGCCAATAAAAACAAAGGTTGGAATTTTAAGCAAAGTTTGAACTTGTTTCTTGAGTCATACTGTGGCAGCATGAGTGGGTTTGTGTTTTTGGTGCCTTTTCATTCTCAGCATCGTTGCAGGTAAATGCAGGATCCCTGAGTGGTCAAAAAACATTTGGTTTTTTTCTTAATCTGATTTAAGTCTGGACTCAGCCACTCAAAAACTTTTTTTAAGGAGAATTTGCTGGTTTTGGATCATCGTCCTGCTGGATTACCCAAGTGCTCTTTAGCTGCAGAGCAGGAAGTGATGGTCGAAGCTCCTTCAGGTTTTTCTGGTGGAGACATTCAGGAGCAGAATTCAGCAGCAGCCCAGCCCATCACACTACCATCACCATGTCTGACTGTTGTTGTGAGCTTTTTATGAACTGCTGTTAGTTTGATCCAGATGTAACGAGAATCACAGTTCAGCTTTTGTCTCATCAGCCCACAGAAAGTTTTCCCAGACGTCTCGGGGATCATCCAGATGTTTTTTGGCCAATGAGCAATGAAAGGAGACACAAGTCCTTTTAAAGACCAACAGCTGAGTGTGAGAGCTGGACTCAAAAATATCCCATTGGTTACTTTCTTACCTATTTTTAATCAGCTTTAATGAATAAAAACATAAAAATGTTTTTGGATTTCGGCATCATTGCTCATGTACCAGTTAAATAGTAGTTAATTAACCTGCATCATATGCATCATCTAACACTGTGCATTTTCTTCACAAGCATCTATAGAATTATTCAAATGAGCACAAAAAACAATCTGAACTAAATGTTGATGCAGATTCAGTTCCTGCTGATGCTGCAGATTTTCAGTATGTCAGAAAATGCAATATAATCACAACAGTTATATTCTCTCCTCGTCCACCGTCAGCCAGACACGCCTCTGCTTCACTCTGCCTCTGATGGACGTCTCTCACTGTGGGGACAAACATGTGACGCTGATCTGTCTGAATGGATCTGCTGCAAACTCAGAGCTGAGGCTTTACTGACTTCTTTCTCCAGTGAGCTTTTAATAACCTGAGTGGTGTGTGTCACATTTTCATCAGCAGCACAGTTTGTGTCTCATGTAGTGTTTTTGTTTCTGGGATTGTGACATTTAAGGAAAACCAGAATATTTCTGGATTCCAGCTCTTAGGTGGAGGTGTTGGTGCTTCCAAGAAGCTCTGTGTGTGAATAAAGTGCAGGGTGACTGGGAGCTGGTTCAGAGCGTTGCCTCACCTCGTGCTTCATGCTGATTGGATGAAAAAAAACCCACCCCGTGCAGCAGGTAGGGAGGGAGAGCAGCACCTTCATGGATTTTATTTCAAACTGTTTGACTCATCCAATCTCCATGGCAACAATAAAATAATTCATGTTTCATTTTTTTTTTAACCAATAACTGAGCAGTCCCTCCTCTTTTACTCATTGTTCAGCTGCTTTAAATCAATATTGAAAAGGTTGAAGTTCAAATCCAATGTTAGTCCAATAACTGATCGACAGCCTCCATCAGTCTCTGGGCGGAGTATGATGGAGGCAGAGCAGCTGATTCTGTTCCCCCTGCTCTTCATCACATCCTGTCGCCATGATTTTTATCTGAACTTGGAGAAAAACCATGAAACATACTAATAATAACTTCATTTATAAAGCACTCTTTACAGGATAAGAACCACAAAGTGCTTCACAATAATATACACTCAACAAAAATATAAACGCAACACCTTTGTTACTGCTCCCATTCCCCATGGGA